GTTTACCGTGGATCAGTACCATAACGAGCCCGATGTCGGATTCCGGAGAGACAACCAGGAGGCCTAGTGAGAGCACTGGGCGGGAGACGCGGACAATCTCCCGAACTCACGTGGAGCTGGCACTTCAGAGACCTCACAGAGCCCCGTGTCCCTCCCCTTTAGGCTGGCGGAGCTTATCCCAGCCCACCACTGAGCTCCCCAACACTCATACTTAGTTCCAGTAGTCTCTCTCTTTAAATTCGCCCAACATGTTGATCCAATCTATTATCCAGATCGATAATGCTACATGATACCACCCTGCAATTATAAGCCCCCCACATGCCCCTCAGTCTACCTGTTTTCATTGATCTTATCTGGCTTCACCTTACCTGTATGCAGTGCAATGGCAGGATAGGGAGCGGGGACCCAGTGGTATTTCCTCTTGACCACCTAGCTTGTTAACCAAAACCAAAAATGTATGTGTTTGCCAGCTTTTTCCTATTGTAAAACCTAGAATATAACTTCATACACATACTAGTCTTGTACTCATCTGAACGGCACTTATGGTCAGTTTGAATCAATTGTCCTGTTATATGTTTTTCTAGACCTAGACAATATTGTTACTCATTCTTGTTACCTTTTCTACCACAAAAAAAACAACAAAGTGCAGCATATCTTGTCTTTTAACATGTACAACATCTGTCATATCATTCATCAGTATTGCCTTGTGTAATTAACTCAGCAAAAAAAAACATAGCCCGCATCCGCCCCTTAATTACGCAAGATGCTACCAAGGAGCTTGTCCATGCTCTAGTAATTTCCTGCATGGATTATTGTAACCCTCTCCTAACTGGTCTTCCCAAAAGTCGCATTGCCCATATACAGTCTGTAATGAATGCTGCCGCCAGACTAATTTTCCTCTCTAGTACTCTCACACCTCACCCCTCTGTCAGTCCTTACATTGGCTTCCTGTATCCTATAAGAGTCAATTCAAAGTGCTAACCCATACCTATAAAGCACTGAACAATTCTTGCCCCTCTTGAATCTTATCACAGATCCATAGGTATGCCCCTTCTCGGTCTCTCCGCGCTGCCCATGACCTTCTCCTGTCCGCTGCTCGCACCCGTAGGGCCAACTCACGCTCGTAGGACTTCGCCCGGGCGGCTCCCTTCCTATGGAATAGGCTGCCTAGGGTCATCAGACTCTCCCCTAGTCTTCAATCATTTAAAAAGTGCCTTAAAATCCATCTCTTTAGGAAAGCTTATGGCTTCTCAGACTAACCTCTATCTTACATGTCTATCTCTTGCTCTCTCCTAAAGGGCAGCACTCTACTCTCTCTGCTTCTTCACTTCTCTCGTTTGAGCAGGGTCCTCTTCAACATATCGCTCCTGTAAGTTGTCTTGTAATTGTCCTATTTGTAGTTAAATCTCATAATATTTTAAAGTGCTACGTAATCTGTCGGCGCTTTATAAATGGCTATAATAATAATAATAATAGCATGTCTCCTGTCCTAGTGGGGAAAAAAAATTACCTTCAGTCTCTTATACTCTTCTTTCAACTTATCCATTTTATCCATCTTATCCATGTCATCCATGCTTGAATCCAACCCAGTGGCAAACTGAGGAGACAATAAACCAAGAAGGCCCAATTAATTGTAAAAATAAAATGAAAAGAAATTAAAATGTCCAACTTGAATAAAATATTTTTTTCAAACTTATCTATTTTAGCCTAACTCAGAGCTGGCCTCAGGCTATTTGGCTTCTTGTGAGAATAATACATCCCAATCGCCAGTGGTGTCCCATTCCTGTGATATGTGCTTGACAACTTTGAATACTAATTTTTATTAGCCTGTCTCAGGAGGAGAATTGGAGAAATATACTTTTCTCCAACTTGCATCTTATACCCTGTGTACCCGCTGGCCATCTGGCAGCAGCTTTTTTCACTCTGCCTTCCTACTGCCTCTGTGCCCGCACACCGGCTCTCTGTTCAACCCACTGGCAGGGCCGTCTTTAGCGCGGGGCAAACGGGGCAGCTGCCCCAGGCCCAGTTGCTCCTGGGGGGGCCCCAGAGCAGCTGCCCCATGGGCCCCGAGATTTCAGCAGCCCCCATGTACCCAGCGGCCGGCGGTGCAGCAGCACTGGCCCGCCAACTAAGGAGGCCCCCGGGTGGCCCATGCACTAAGGGCCACCCTGTGGGCATGTGGCAGAAGGGGCCCGGTCGGGTGCTGTGACGCTTAAACAGCGCGACCGGGCCCCTTCCTGTACCGGTTGGGAGTAAGTGAGTACAGCTGTCACTTCCTCCCACCGGAGATAGCCGCGCGGGAGGAGGAAGGCAGGGAGGAGGGGAGTTCCAGAGAAGAACTCCCATCTGCCTCAGCCTGCCACTGGACCCC